TTTATGAACTTGTATGATAGTTTAAGTTTTTTTATTGAAATATTTTCTTAACATAATATTAGAATTTTAATGATTAAACAGACACCAGCTTGATTTCCATCATTCTTATTTTTCTAATAATTAAATTAAAAATTCAGCACAAACAATAGTGATTTTATATAAATTTTGAAAGTAATTTTTTTTTCTTAAAAAGACGTCTTAGAATTAATAATAAATATTTTTTAGAATTTTAGATTAAAATAATTCTTTTACATTATTTCTCAATGCATTAAAATTTAGCTTGGAATCATATTATCTGATCAGCTGAAAGACAATTAATTTAGAGACTGGACAAAAAGGGTTGGACATAAAGCACCAAATACCTAAATTGTTGCACTAACATCAATAAATAATATTTAAATAATTCTGTTACATATTATCTGAAAACACGAGAATGGGAAAATTTGAAATAACTAGGAGACTTTTTGAAATCCTATCAAACTAGCTGAATCATTGATTAGGTAAAGATTGAGCTCACAAAATTTGACCATTTTTCCGTTTCGCGTTCATCAGCTGGAAGATCTAGCTGGCATGATTGAACTTCAATATTGCTTCCCTTTATAAAAGTCGCATTAAAAATCAAAGTTGAGGTGGAAGCTAGCAGTTTCGTAAAAGATGTCTAAAGTTAGAGAAATCATAACTTCTTGATTAGTCTAATATTAGCTAGGCTAGCTTTTATGAGAGAGTGAAAGAGTGAGAGAGACTCTGTATAACTAAGCGAAACAGAATATGTACCCCAAAAAGTTATTATCGTATTAATCTTCCGTTCACTATGGTAGGAAATTATTCCAAGAATGCAATTCTATTCTTTTCAATGACATATTGAAAAAAGTTATTAAGGTTTCGTTTGTTTAATAAAAAATAACTTTTAATAAGAAAAAAAATTTTTTAAAAAATTTTTAGAATATTTTTTTTTAAAAAAATATTTTTTAATATTTGACAATTGCATGAAAAAATTATTGAAAAATATATTTTAGCGTTTATTTAATACGAAAAACTGAATACATTAACGATTTTTGAGAAAACTTCAACAAGAGATATTCATAATTTCATAACGGAAGATCCATTTAGAAAAATTTAATAATTTTTTATAAATACTGATCCTAAGATTTAAATTAAAAAATAAAAAATAAAAAAGTGATGTTTTACCTATCAAACCAATTCATCAAAACTACTTGAAAAAAAATCAAATTAATATTCACATTTAGTAAAAAATTTCTAAGTAATTCTAATATTGTTATTTTGGTAACTCAATTAAGAATATTTTTTTTAATGAAAATTGAACTCGATAATTTAGTTTAAAAAATAGTTTTACAAATTATTAGTTATCATTTGTGGATAATTATTTATTTAGTTTCAAAAGATTAATATTGGAATAATTTGTAACTATTTATTGACTACAATTACCGACAAAATTTTACAACGGATTAAAATTAGTCACAAATTATTGATTTAGTTGCAAATGAATAGGGTTTGAAAAATAATGTATTTATTATTGAATTAATTAGTTTCAAATTTTTGATGAATAATTGCAGTCTTGTGATAATAATTTTCAATTATTTAAGTATAGTTTAGGTGGTGTTTGAGATAATGATAAAAAAAATAAAGATAAATTATTAAAATATTTATTATAAAAATAATTTTAAAGTGTAGAAATGGTTTTTAAGAATATTTAATGTATTTACAAATTGAAAAATCAAATGTTAGTAAAAATAGAGAAAAAATAATTAAATAATTAATAATAATTGATAAAAAATAATTAAAAATTAATTTGATATATTTTAAATAAAAAGAAGACAAGAAAAAATTATTAAAATATATCGAGAGAGAGGTGAGTAATGCAAGAGCGAGACAACTCGTGAGAGAGAGGAAAAATATTTTTCTCTTTTTTAACTTAAAAATATTTTTTCAAAAATACTTTATATCATTTTCTCGTTGACTGAAAATCATTTTTTTGTTAACTTTTTTCCTAAACGTGAACAAACACAACCTAATTTCAACCTTACTACTACATAATTAATACTTTGTCAAAAGGAATTTTCCTTTTGAGTGTTTTTAAAGTTTAACGAGTAGTTTATGATCAGGTGTGGAGTTAAGATTTCAAGATAAAGGAGGTAAAGATGAGATTTCAAGAAATATGGGGACGTAAAAATGTCTGAAAAAAAAAGATAAAAAAAGATAAATTTAAAGGACTTTAACTGAAGAGAGCAAAACAGAATTTTTTTTAAACACTTTAAGGAGGCAATTGGCAATTGTGCCCTTCTTTTACTCCATGTATGTTGTTTACGATATAATTTCTACAACAACTAGAAAAATCAATTTGCTAAACTAACATTTTAGCATAGATGTCATATTAAAGTTTCAGATTCAAATTTTAGAGTCGATTTCTAATGCATCAAGTTAATGGAGAAAATGCGCTAATATATATATGTGTGTATTGTCAACTAAAAAAAAATTAGATTTTGACTTCGAGAACTTATATGTCATAAGTTTTTTTCTTTATGTCAATCATAAGGTCATCGTATTGTCTCTCTAGATTTATTTATGCAATTCTATTCCAAATCCTTAGGTAAAGATTTTCTTGTCGACGAAGAATAATTTAATTTATTTATCTACTAGGATATATAAGTTCTTATTTATGCAATTCGTTTTTTAATCCAATGAAAAAAGTTTCTCGTCATAAAAAAGCTTCATTTGAAGTGGTTAAGGGCGGCTCATAATCTTAGATGGAGAGCTAATATTACATGACACAGGAAACTTCAGAAACCTGATTGAGAAAAATCTTTAATTGGAGGACTTAATCAAATATTGCACATAAAATTTACTTGGGTTATAAGTTAAAGAAAATCGTAAATTGAGAAAACTTTTAGTCAACATTTTGGGTTATAGTTTTTGTAATTTAATATTTTTTAATAAATATAATTTTAAAATTTAAATTCTACGTATTAATATAAAATTTATTTAGATATCAGCTTATTTACTACTAACCAATAACTTATTAGCAAGAAGATTGCAATTTTATTTTTAAAGATTAAATTAAATAATAAGATATAAAAGAATTACGGTAACCTTTGTCAAATATTTTACACACTTTCCTCTTTAAAGAATGGACAAAATGCGGTCTAATTTCTTAAAAGGATGCCTCATAGCTTTTCCAAATTATATATTTTTAATTTCCAATATTACTTTTTTTCATTGAAAATTATGGATTTAAAGAACGAGGAAAACAAAGCAAATTTGAAAGATTTAGAAGACACATAATGTACTCCCTAGACCCCTCTCTCTCTCTCTCTCTCTCTATATATATATATATATATATATATATAACCAAATCAATTATGCGTATATATAAAAGGGGGAAAAAGTGAAAGATATACAACCAAATCAATTATGCGTTAATTGCCGTCAACGAATATCATTAGAGTGAAATAGCAATCATACCGAACTTCGAGAATAGGACACTCAACAACGAACTCTTTTTAACTTTATCAATAAAAAAGAGTATTAATATTCTATGTCGGTGAACAATCAGTGCAAATTCAAAGAAAAGGAGGAAGACAAGGCAATATATAAAGATGGAAATCACATTAAAGATTAACCCTCTCACATAAATTTCATGGGAATTTGTGCTTTTGAAGATGGTATCATGATATTCATATAAATTTAGAATAGCATACAAAAGCCTACTACTTAAAAATAAAGATGCCCCTCTTCAGGCTCCATGTGTGTAGCCTTTAAACTTTTCTTTTTTGAAAAACTAAAATATGGTCCACTTGACCATAAATAAATTAATGGTCGATTCCTGGAAGGATTAAAGAATAGGAGCATTGAATTGTAAAGATGACATATACTATTCACCAAGGAAAAAAAAACATTATCAATAATTGATATTGATCATGATCACTGAAAATGCCAAGACGTGTGTCATTTTCTAACATTTTTATTTTAGCTTTGTAACACGAACAAAATATGAAAGCAATGCGCGAAAAGGTCTTTAATTTAATGGTGGCAACTAATACTTTTACATGTAGCTAGAATTTGCCGTTCAGATTCCCTGTAATAGACGCTATAATTGTTCATCATAAATTTGGATCACGAGGGTTTGATTGCACCCAAAAAACAGAGTAACATATGACCCTAAAAGCACATTTCTAAAAAAGTATTTGATAATCTAATTAAGTAGCTTAAAAAATTAAGTTGTAGTATTTAATATAAAAAGCTTGTTTGATAACTTAAATAATCTCATATTAAAACTTTAAGTTCAGTCAAAATCTACTTAATCGGATAAGTTAAAATTTTTAACTTATTACTTTTTGATTAACACGCTCGGTTAAAAGATTTTTAAAACTTTTCAAATATGACTATATAGCCCTTATATATTTTTATAACTTTATCTATACAAACCTACTCGAAAAACAATTTCTATAATTCTTATTATCGAAACAAAAAATACTTTCTCTATTATCGGTGATTTCATCTCATCAACATCAATAAACTACTACGAATCCGAGATGTCAAGGTCTAATCCTATCGCGAGTAATTTTCCTTTCATTCCATTACAAATGATTTTCCCTTATATCTCGTTAATATTTTGATTGTTTTTTTCTTTTGTATATTTTTTTTACAAAGATTGAATTTTTTTTTAATATATTGATGTGTTTTAATTTACGGGTTTTGTTTAAAGATCCTAATTTAGATACATAACATCCTCTCTTTTTTCGGATTGTGAAATATTTATTCGGTCTATTGTTACTTTGATAGCTAAACTCCCGAGTTTTGAATCTATGAATTTTAATGCCGAGTGGCTATGTCATACTTTTGATCATTCTTTGTGTGTATTGATCGTATCAAAATTTCCGTTTTAGTGTTTCTCTTTGCTCGCTTCTTGTTTGTGACTTTGTTAGACTTCCATTTAATAAATATAATATTTACTTTAATTAGCAACTCAAGTACATGAAAATTTACATCAAATTTCTATCAAATTCGTAAGGTTGTGCCGGCTTTAACCATGGAGACATTTTCATGAAGCCGTAACCCAAATTTCCACCACCATTATTAACGGTTGCCATCCCATTATCATGTCGGTAAGAGGTATTGTTTCTTGAGTCGCCTCTATTGTGGTTGTTATCACCCCTTCCATTACCTAAGCCACCTCTCGTTCCCATGCCCTCATCCACGCCCTTATCCATGCCCATTACTCGCTACCCTAATGATCCATTCCCCTCCCACCTTCCCGGCCACTCTAGTCACATTTCCTTCCTCTTCCACACCCTTCATTGTTGCGCCAATGACCACCAGTAGCACTTCCACTACCATTGGTTCCGGTCCAACCACCGGTGTTACCTCTACCACCACCGGTGTTACCTCTGCCATCATTACTCCAATTTCCATCACCGGTACTATTAGTTCTGCTCGCTACTCCGTCTAACGGAGAAATTTTCCTTGCAAGAATTTTTACTCCCACTATTATATGAGCTTGACCCATCACTTCGTTGCCTTAACCCCATCTTGACAAATAGTAGAAATAGCATCAACATTAACATTATGTGGCAACACAAATTTCCTCATAAACTTACCAACCCTTCTTTCCATTCGCACATACTAAGATCCTTCTTTCTCCTCCCCATGATTCCTCTCTCCACTAATAACCAAGCACATAATGTTAATGTTGATGCTATTTCTACTATTTGTCATCCTTCACTTGAACCTTGATGTCCCCCGACTTTAATCCTTGCATATCAATGATGAACGCATAAAAGTTAGGATACTCTTTCACATCGGATGCATTTCGACAATAAAGAACAAAACTCTTAACAAAAAAAATTTAGAAATTAAGATATTCAAGGAAGAAAATTAGCAAAAACATTGAATTAAGAGACCCACATCATATATGCTCCTCTTCAAGCTATTTAGACCTCAATACTCTTAGGCTCGTAATAGTCAAACCCCATCTTGACAAACAACGAAATAACATCAATATTAGGTCTCCGACAACATAGATTTCCTCTTTTTATCATCGGAATCGAACCCCTAGAAAAACTCAATCTCTCTCTCTCTTTCTCTCTCGCTCAATCTCGTTTACGTTATCGCTCACTTTCTACTTTATACAAAAAGCTTTGCTTTCTTTATCCTTCGATCGATCCTCCTAAAATATGAAAAGGGTTGAGGTTGCATGTGTGTGACGGTAGTGGCTAAGCCATTGCCATTGTTGGATCTAAAGTGAACAAGAGGCAAGGGATTAGTAATGTATAGTAAAATGAAAAAGGAGAATAAGGAGGTTACCTAGTGTTAATCGATAGTGGGACCGTGACATTGTGGAAGTGAAGGAGGAATGACCTTTTGCTTCCTTTGAAGTCACCATTCTTTGTCCAAACTCGAAGAAAATATGAATGTTATAGTGGTTTGTGTTGCCGTAGCCGTAGAGAAACGGGGATGAAAAGGGAGTTTCTAGAGAGATGTAAGCGAGTGAATAGGCATTCCAATGGTTTGTGTTATGTTGGGTACGGGTAAACGTGTTGGGTCAAAAATGATATAGAAGCATTTGGAATATTCAAGAAAGCAAGGATTATTTAGGACAATTTTGATTTTACACATGCTTACATGGTTGTATATCATTCAGTTGTTTTTATATTGTTAGGATCTTAGTTTGGTTATTTTTTTAAACATGTTAAAGTGGTTTTTATGATTTAAATTTGAGTTTTAAAATTATAGTAATATGGCTTTTGGTATAATCATTTTATAATGTGTAGGAATGTCTTCCGAAGATAGTGTTAGAGCCAATTGGAAGGACCCCAAAATAGTAAAATCTTTTTTGTATACATGCATTGATCAAGTGAGTATTCTTGGAAAAAATGGAGGGAGCTTAAAAAAAAATAATGGGAAAATATAGTGAAAGCATTGAGGGAAAGAAAGGTATTAAGTTTTCTAAAAAAAAAAAAAACTAAAGAATGAATGGACGTATTTAAAAAAGAAGTACATAGTATGGTCAAAACTCATAGATAAAAGTGGGCATGGTTATGATCCAGGTGACTAATACCGTCAATTAGATTGCATAAAAGTGAGACGATTATGAATAGGTATTATTTCTTTTATACATTTCATTCCCTAGTAGAGCTTAAAGCAATTAATAATATTATTGATTTGATATATTTATGTAACGGAACAATAATGACGCGAAATAATTTCTTTATGTTGGTTTACAATTTTCGGATGAGATGAAATCATTATTTGATGGAATTTTAGCCACTCGGAAATGAAAGTTGGGGTCCTTCTAAAGACACAATGCCTATAAATGAAGTTGCTTCTTCTATGCCAATTGAACCAATTTGAACAAATTTTGAAGAATTTATTGATTTAGAGTCTAATTCTCCAGCTCTATTTTCAACTTCAAATGAAGAAATAAAAAAACCTAAAAAACGTCGAAAGAAGAATAATGATGATGACATTGATGATCATTTGGTTGTAGTATCGAAGACATTGGAAGAATCTAAAGGACCCGAGTATAGAACGATGCAATAAGAAGTTAGATGAGATGGATACTTTAAGAATGGATGATCCTTTATATATAGCCGCATGTGCTATCTTTTGTGAAAGCAAAGCATATAGAGAGCAATTGATAAATCTTTCTCAAAAGCCGGAGGAAGTCAAAATTGGATGGATCAAAATTGTTGCTAAAAAGTTGGTATTGTTTTAATTGAATATTTTTTCTTATGATTTGTGTTTAGTATTTTAGAATAATTTGTTTCATCGTGATTGTCTAGTATTTTCAAAAGAATTATTGTTTGAATAAAAGTACTTCAATTTGAATATCTTTCCTTTAATTAGATTTCTCGTTAGTTTTTTTGATATATGCTTTTGCCTTTTTTTTTTAATTAACGAGCAAGTTGATAGATAGGCAAAAAAAGAGTTTAAGGATTATTTTTCTACTTCTTATATTGAAAAGAATTAATAGAAGACGTGTTGAAAAAAGACCGGATACAAATTCGGCTCTTGAAGGATATGTATATATGCTAGAGATCGTCAATGGAAATCCAACTCATCGTCAAGAAATGTTGAGAATGAAAAAAGAAGCATTCTTAAATTTATGTGATTATTTTAAACAAAAAGGATGGTTGAGAGATAGTTGTTATATTAAGGTTGAAAAAAAATGGCAATGTTTTTGAAAACTTTAAGTCAAAATTTTTGAAGTCGTGTTGTGAAACGAAGATTTAATCATTCAACTCAAACGAGTGCATCACTATTTCCATGAAGTATTGCAAGCAATGTTAAAGTTTACAAAAGAAATGGTTGTACCTACTTTATTTTACCTAGATTTAAGTCAAGTTCAACATCATCGTCGACTTCGTCAAATATTTCATGTTATACATTTAACTTTTTATTTCTAATTTTATTGATTTGTGTATTTTAAAATTAACTAAATTTATTTATTTATTTATAGGGTGCTATAGGTGCCTTTGATGGGACTTTAATTCGTGTCGTTATATCACTCGACTAACAAGTCCCATATAGAGGGGAGGATGAGGAGATTGCTATCAAAATGTCCATGCAATATATGATTTTCATATGATTTTTCCTTTTTTTTAGGCTGGATGGGAAGGTGTAGCACATGATTCAAGAGTATTAACGTAAACTATGAGTGACTCATCAAATAATTTTTCCATCTCTCCACTCGGTAGGTTGTTTCATTCTTATTAAATTCTTTTTTATAAAAAAATTCCCCTCAAGTTTTTTTTAATAGGTGTATTATGTCAAAATTTATTACATTTTCATGAAATTTATCATATTAATATTTGATGGCGGATAAATATTATCTTTGTGATACTGCATATGTGCATACTAGAGGGTTTATGGCACCATATCGTAATACACGATATTGGTTATCCGATTTTCGTAATGGTCGTAATCCAAGATCAAAAGAAGAAGCGTTTAATCATGCACATGCAAAATTGTGGAATGTTATTGAATTAGCATTTGGTGTTCTAAAAGCAAGGTTTCTAATTCTAAAGACAATGACCCCATATCCATTTGTAGTTCGGAGAGATATTGTTATTGCATGTGTTGCAATATATAATTATCTTCAAAGAACAATTGTTATCGACAACTTTTTTTAACAATTTGATGGCGATGATACGATGCATCAAACACCAAATTTTATTGCAAATTTACCATTCATCGGAGGAGGGGCACAAGTACGAGTTGATCAAACATTTATGATTAATTTACGAGACCAAATTGCAAATGAATTGATTAGTACTTGAGATTTTATTTATTTTATAAATGATACGACAATTAATGTTATTTTAGAATGTATTTAATTTTTTATTAATAATCATTTTTATTGAATTTTTATTTATTTATTTGTACACATAAACACATTTACGTATATATTTTTATCATGTTACAATTACAAGGTTAAAATTCTCATATACATAGCCTTAATATGTTCAAGCAACAGTACTTATCAAACATGCTTATTATATTTAGCACTTAATAGCTTGTCGAGAACATATTTAATACTTAACAGATTTGGCACTTAAAATTTAGTACTTAATAGATTCAACACTTAATTTTTAGTTTTATCAAACACCATCTAAGTCAATATATTTGAAAAAAAAAGCTCATCATTTTTCATGCTACAAAGATCCTTAATTATTCTAGACCTATACATGGTGTTACGAAGTGCTTGTTACTAGAATTTGCGTAGCGGATATTGAAATGCTAGTTTCTATACCCACTTGCATTCAAATGAAAAACTTACTTTTAAAATAAAGTCCATAGAAATTATCAGAAAAAACTTAAAATATTAAAATTAGGAAAAAAAATCTTCTTTATGTGACATTGGATATGCAAGTTCCAAAAAATTTGATTTTTAAAATCGATTAAAATCTAGACATATTTTAGTGTTTATGTAACTCAAAAAATAGTGAAATTAATCTCATAAAAACTAACATAAAATATTTCATTATATATATTACTAATAGTTTGATATATGGTAACGAGTTAAAATGATAAGATTATCGAGGAGGAAGAAGTATAGCTTTATTGCGTAATTTAAGATCAGTGAAGAAAGGGATGAGAAGAAAGGGAATGCCAATCCAATGGGGAGTTATATTTTCTTGGTATTAATTGATAATTTAGAGTTTAATTATTAGTTAATTAGTTTTTTGTATTGTGTTTTGTGTTGTGTTTGATATGAGTTTTGCTCGTAAACCTTTTTTTATTTACTTATATAGGGAAAAAAGCAGTTTTAACCATGTCATATACTTCACAAAGTTAGCATGACCAATGTAAGAAGCAATGCTCAAGGAGTTATCAGCGAGCGAGTATTGTGATGTTGAATATGAAACTATACATGGATTGATGTTGAGTATTAAACT